GCAGAAAGTCTGAAGTGGTTTCCAGGGGTGGACAGTGTTATCACAACCAAAGGCTTGAAATGGACTTGTCTCCAGGGAGGGGGAAAAATCTAGTTTCAAATATTCCTGCAACTTTTGTGCTGACCAAGTGTTTATTAATAGAAGTTGAATCCCCAGTGGGGTTTTCTTTGGTTAACTGGTGAGCTTGAGAGAAATAACAATACCAAGAGATTGACTGTAAAATAATTATTCACCATGGCCTGCTGGGCAGAAATTTCTCAACAGGCAGCCTCCATGGCGCCTTGGAGGGAAGAACACAGGAAAAGGGCTGGCTGCAGCCTCGGTGCCTGAGCCCTGGTTATCAGGTAGGGGGGGCACCCACAGAGGCCTCTCTGTTGGTGTGGGGCAGAGCTGTTGAAGCAAAAGTTGGCCATCATGAATTCTGATCACAGGTGCCAGCTAGATCTGCATTTTTCTTGGTCGGCATTTTCTTTTCTCATTCTTTCTTTTTTTTCCTTCGATCTCGTGGGGGAAACTCTTGACGTCCACCAAAGCGCTCCTTTGCCAGTCAACCACCATCTGACAGAGGTAACCCCAACCTCAACCGGGTTCAACAGCTCTGTGCCAGTGGTGACATGAACTTTTCTACCTTGTTCTGCTGAATATAGTAAACACACTCAAAGATGCAAATGTACTTGAATTACACATGCATTTGAAGAGTGGGGGAGTCGCAGCCCAGATAATAGCTGAGGGCTTTTTTCCCCCTCCTTTATTTTTGTGTGGAGGTCAAGAACTCAGTAATACTGCAGTCCAGGCCAAAACAAACTCTATATGATCTACTACCGATTTCCTTTTAAGTTCCTCTTTTTGCTAGGACTGACTTCCTTTTATTTTACTCCAACTTGCATTAATCCCAGTTATAGAAGTTTCTTTCCTCTCTCCCTTGCTTCCAACTTCAAACATTTCTTACGTAGGAAACAAGGGGCCTTAAAAAAAAAAAATCTAACTTAAAAAATATAAAGGATACCATGACTTTTGGAATATATTTTGGCAGCCTGCGATTTCAGAGTTCACTTCCGAACAGACGGAGTCAGACGGGGAACTGAAATGCCTACGTGACCACTGTGGTTTGCTTTGAGCCAAACCACCTGCTTATCTGATCTCCTCTGGGAATGAAGTGGTCGACACCTACAGTGGTTACTTAATAATTAGATGCTTTATTTGTCAGAGGCCATATATTCCTGGACCAGTGCTGCCTCTTTTTGTGGGTTTTCGTGATGAAAGCTGGGTGTTGACCGATTGCCCAAAGCGATCAGAGCTGGAGCATGCTCGGGCCCAGTATTTTTAGCTCGGGTTCACGTTCTGTCTCCTCCCCGACAGCAGTTGCTGTCATGCTGTCACTGACTTCCAGTGAAGAGGTTGTGCCAGCCAAGCTGACTGGCCGGGCCCCCGAAGAACCCCAGCCAGCAAGAAGGCAGGATGTGGTTAAAATGGTGCGCTGATCCTATCACGGGACTCAGGAAACCTATTCGTAGCTTGGAGATTTTCCAAAAGTCCGTCTGCCCTATCACCCTTCCCATCTTCTCTCCCCTCACGAGGATTTGCAAGCTGAGCTATCAGGACCACTAAAACAAGAAGTGGAGCTCCTCCTGTGATCTTGGCATACTATTCTTAGCTGAAAAGGATGTGTCGGGCATCTTGCATCTTAGAACTTTCTGGAGACAGAAAAGGTCACCTTGCTTCCTGGAGCGTGTTCTCTTTCACCTCCAGACTTGTCTGTATTATTGTTACGTTATGACTACTGTTCTTTAAGTAGTAGAGGATGACCTGGGAGGCCAAATGATGCAGGATGCCTTCAGAGGGGTGCGGCAGGTGGGGTGGGGTTATCAGGCAAGCAGGCGCCAGGCACTTCTGTGAGCCCCAGTCGTCCTCTGATAAATGGGGATCATAACCATACCTGCCTCGCAAAGTTGTGGGGCATATTGAGGATGTGTGAAAAGTACTGTGCAAAATTTGATAGATTAGAAAAAATTAAAATGTATTATCTGATACATATCTAAAATGTAATATCTGATATTATATTATCAAAGAGCTACTTTTAGGGCTTTACAATATTCCTGTAAAGTTAGACTGATTGAGATTAAGATTTCCATTTGGCAGGAGCGCCTGGGTGGCTCAGTCGTTAAGCGTCTGCCTTCGGCTCAGATCATGATCCCAGGGTCCTGGGATTGAGCCCCGCATTGGGCTCCCTGCTCCGCGGGAAGGCTGCTTCTCCCTCTCTCACTCCCCCTGCTTGTGTTCCCTCTCTCGCTGTGTCTCTCTCTGTCAAATAAATAAATAAAATTAAAAAAAAAAAAAGATTTCCATTTGGCAGATGAGAAAACTGAGGTACAGAGAACTGAACTGATTGGCTCAAGGTTTTAAAATTTATAGAGCAGTGCTGTCCAATAAAACCAATGCAAGCCCATATATATATATATGTATATATATATAATTTGGAATTTGTTAGTAGCTGCATTAAAAAAATAAGACAGTGAAATTAATTTTTAAAATTCTATTTTTAAATAGTCAAAATTTTGGGGTGCCTAGGTGGCTCAGTCGGTTAAGCATCTGACTTTGGCTCAGGTCATGATCCCAGGGTCCTGGGATCAAGCCCCATGTTCATCTCTGTGCTCAGTGGGGAGTCTGCTTCTCTGCCCCTCCCCCAGCTCGTCCTCTCTCTTTCTCTCTGTCAAATAAATACATAAAATCTTTTAAAAAATAGTCAAAATCTTATTTCAGTGTATGGCACTAGCCATATTTCAAGTGCTCAAGAACTGTGTCTGAGCAGTAGCTCTCATATTGTGCAGTATAGAATATTTGTTAAGCACACACTAGGAAGATACATGTATATAAGACATAGACAGTATATTTGAGAAAGTTTGCTTTCTGGGGGCTAAGAAAATGGCCCTAAAAATACTTTCTCTTTGGGGTACTTCCTTATAGAGACCCTTAGGAATCTACTGGACTATTCTTTAAGTCTGTGAGAAAATTCCTAAATCACAAAGTTAGATATTTGGCACTCACTGACCCATGTGCACAAACTCTGTCCCTCATCTTACTTCTCATCGGCCCTGTTGAAAATTATGATCTTAGTCTTATGCAAGGATGAAATAATTTCAGAAAGATCCCACATCTCAATAGGGCCTCGGAAAATTGTCAACCGGAGCTGAGTGATTTTAGTTGGTGAACAATTTTTTAAAAATCAGTGACAAAAATACAGAGCTGCCTGGGGAATACAATGCCTGTTGGCTGAGATTAATGGCAAGATTAATAAATGGATTGCTTGATGAAAAGGCGCGAGAGAACAAAAACCAGTAGAGATTGTGGAGGAGGCTGCTTATTAATGAGCTGTCAGCCCAAAGAAAGTTCAAGAAACTCTTCTGTGTTAAATGCAGCAGGGCTGGCACTTCTAATAAAAATTGGGGGTCCTTCAGAAATTAATTACATCGGCCTTACAGCAAGAATTTGTGGAATTGCGAAACGTAGTGGCACGGACCAGCACGGGCCGCTAGTGCAAATAGAGAAGCTGCAGGAGAAACTAATCATTTTTTTTTCATTGATATGTAGGATATTGTAGTAGCATAATAGCCAGTCAGACCTGAGGATGAATGATGGGGTCCAGATACACACTGACTAATGAAAGGACACCATACTTCGAGCTTGGAGTCACTTCACATTTCATACGTAAAATTCCCTCCTGGAATCTGATTTTCTCCTTATCCTGTGTGCCCGCCACGAAGGAGTTCCAAATCACTTTCAGAGTGATTATACGAACGTCAGAGGCACTCTGCCATGATTTATCAAGCTATGCCTAGAAGGAGCACAGCATCCATTTATCCCGAGTTGCCGTGATTTCCTTGTCCTCTCCACAAGTTCCCAGTTTGGCTGGCCTGACAAAACCTTCTCTTAATTAAAATTGGGTGTTGCCTCTGCCCGAGGAAGCAATCCGAAGGCATGCCACCACAAGATGGAGATTTCTAGGTTTGGGGTCTGATATCGCATGTTAGATGTTGCAAGCTGCTCTCTTTCTCTGCTTCCATGAAGGCAGAGGAAAGGTATTCCTCTGTAATGTGTTTAGACCAAGGGTTTGAAGACAGCCCATTCATCTCTTGGGTCTCAAATTTCATAATTAACCATTTCGGTTCAGGACTGAAGGTCTCCCCCTAGAGCCTGGTAATTAAGGAGTTTTCTGCTAATTGATTTATGTGCTGCTTTTCTAGGAATGAGATAAATATAAGAGGAGAGGAGAGAACAACTTTTGGTTGGTTTACATGTAGTGTACTTTCTCCTTTGGGGTCTTAATGTAAATGATCATCCATTATTTTTCCTTCTTAGAGCTTGATAGAACTGGGGCTGGGGCTTTTTTTTTTTTTAAACTCCATTCGACTTGTACCAGGATTATACAATTTCCAAGAGGAATTCCTTCAGTTGTGCATAGACTTTACCATCCTCTTTCTTTTGCTTGTCACATCCTTGAGTATTAGACCATCCACCACCCATCACTCTTTGACTTTTCAGACCCTCATAATCCACATGATACATGTCCTTTTGATTAAAACAACTTAATGGCCTTTTCACGAATAATTAATCTGCCGTCTTTTTACTTTCAGCTCCAGGCTTTTAACTTTAATGTTGAGTTATCCAACCTGTGTTGCCTTTTAAGGGTTCCACTCCCTTTAGCCTCTTCCCCTGAAAGGTTTAATACCTTTTCAGAAGCTTCAGTGTTTGCTATACTAAGGTTTTTTTAAAGGCTTCCAGATTACTCTCACATCCTTCCTGCTCTGTGTGAAGTGAATAACTAACTGTGCAGGAATCAGTGGGATGAAATGAAAATCATTTCAGACTCACAATATTCTGTCATTTTGGAAAACACGGAGGCTTTCGCTGCAAAGAAAAGGTAAAACCCATTGCTTTTTGAAGAAATAATTGTATATTTCTTTGTAGTTATGTGTTTCTAATTCTGGATGTTTTTCTAACAGTGACAATTTATACCAAATGACCTCCCAGCTTGAATGCATGACCTGGAATCAGATGAACTTAGGAGCCACTTTAAAGGGGTAAGGTTTTCTCTGTTCCATTGCCCTTCAACAAAAACATACACCTGTTCGAACCATTTTAAAGGCGTTTATAACTCACGAAGAAAATGCAGTTTTAGAAAAATAGTCATGGCTCTCTGTAGAACTAAGCTGCTTTCCTCCTTCCCCCAGTTGGTGGGTTGCGTTCAGTATTAAATTTTCAGGAATATAAATAGGGGATTTTTGTGTGTGTCCGGAACAAGGGAGTTGAGACTACTGAGAAAAAGTAATTTGGCCTTTACTTATTGAGTGTTTTAGAGTTCTTCAAAATTGTGTCGGTTCAACCTCATTTAATGTTTGTTTTGCTACTGATATCACAGATGTTAACTATTACATTATCTTGTCGAGAAATACTTTCAGTTTATAATGCCCGGGATCCAAATTCGTATTTGAGTGCTGATGATTGGGACACTTTTGAGTCAGATGTGCTCATACCCGGTTGTACCAACGGGTTTTCTTCATGCTCTGTAGACAGTCACAACGGGGAGAACACAACATAGGCAGGGGAGATTCTTTGCACCTGGAAATTTTAAAAGGCAAACAGGTGGGACTTCCTTTCAACAGTACAAGAACTCACTGTTCGCTTTCTCAAGTCTGAGTCAATGGGCATTAGGATATGACTCCAGTGACGTCCCCGTAATTGTAGCAGGTGCTTTTCTCAGTCCCCTCACTTACTCTTCCTAACAATACTGTAAGACTTAGGTATGGTTACCCTGTTTTCTACAAATAAGCAAATCAAGCTCAGAAAGTTAAGTCACTTCCCAAGTTCACATCATATTAAGTGGTAGAGGTGGGATTCCAAGCCTGGATCTAATTCCAAAGCAGAGGCTCTTTCCAGCCTCCCTATGGTGCCTTCCACCCGGTGGCACTGGAGACTAAGTCCAACACTCTGGACGAGACAACTAGCTTCACATCTCTGTGTATTAGTGGCTTCTCATTGGATTCTGGGATCTGGGAGCTTGCGAGAGCCATGCATGCTCCATTCCCCATTCCCCACCTCTTCTTCTCTTCTAGAGTTGCTGCTGGGAGCTCCAGCTCAGTGAAATGGACAGAAGGGCAGAGCAAGTGAGTGGATGATACGATGATGGCAAAGCCAATGATGTAGGCCTTGTTGACTGGCGCCTGGGGCGATGCAGGAGTTAGCATTGACAGTGGGTAATCAGGGTAGCAGTTGGTGCAATGGGATGGGAAGGATCTCTCCCTCCCTCTCTCTCTCTCTTTCCCTCTCTCCCTCTCTGCCTCTTATTTGTTGTAGACATATTGTGGGCAAAAACGGAGGTGGTGACATTTCTCATCAACATACTCCTAGAAGACAGTTTTTACAACGATGTACTAGGAGTCCTGCTCATTTCCTCTGGAATGTTTTACCAAACACTAAATTTGTGGTATTATACATCTTCCTGTTAGATCAGTCAAATCTTTCAGGCATCTATAACTTGCTTTTTCTCTATTTGCTTTTAAATCTCTCAGGGAGAACTTAATTTTTACCTCAAATCTGTAGACCGAATTCTTACAAGAACTTTTTTTTTGTTGTTCTCAAACATCTGTGCCTTCCCCAGCCCTATAGGCTGCACCCTGGGACATTTCTGTAGCTATTTCTTTTGACTTTATTTTCTCTGCATGAACACCAGAATTGGTCTCCTTCTTCTCATCCTTCTTTCTTTTGTTGGCTCAGTCCTGGCTTTTGTATCATCCTTCAGTGATCAGCAGAGTTGTTTTTCAATCTTCCAGGACTTACTGTTAGATCCTTCTTTCCACCCCCAGCTCCCATTTTTTATGCTATTTTATCCTAATCTCAACTTCCTCTCTCTAGACCCAAAAAGCCTGTTGATGTGAATTTTTTCTCTCCACACTTGCGTCCAAGGGGCTGCTGACAATTTCAGCATTTTGTCTTTCTACCTACTCTCAACTTGTCTGATGTTTCTTGGCTTCTTGCTCTTACCCTTTCTTTCTGGATCCCTTCCTTTTCTTCTCTCTCTTCATCTCAGAATTCAGAAACTGTCTCCACATTAAATGCCAAGAGCAGATATAACTTGATTGTGAAGTGAGTAGTATGTTTCACTTTTTAAAATTTCTTCATGTTGGAGTACAAGGTTTGTTTGCTTAATTACAAAAATTACAGATACGGAATCTTGGCATGTGTTTGATTCTGGGTCTTTCCATAGTTGAGATAATTTTGATACCTTTTAAGGTCTTTAGACACATGATATTAGTCACTTGCTGAGGAATCAGAAGTTATATTGTGAAGATAAAGCACAAAATGTGAATAGTTTGTTTTGTTCAATCCACTTTAAGGAAGAAAGAAACTAGAAGAGTTTTTATTAGTCTGGTGCTTACATTTTGGAAAAGGATTTCTGAAACCAAAATGTATTTCTTGAATACTATTTTTATTCATAAAGCTGAATGAAAAGGATAAAATGTCTCCAGTAGGTAGTCCTACAGAAGAGCAACTCTTTGGAGAACAAGGTTGCAATGGTATAATTTACTAACATCTCTCACGCAGCAGATTTATCCCTTTAGAATGTATTGTAAGTCAACTAATGTCTGCTTCCATTTATGATTTGACAATTTATCCAAGGGTGGATGCTAACATTATTGGGCCCCGTGTAAGGGGCTTTACGTATGTTTTCTCCTTTGACCTCGTGACAATCCTAGGATACTAGGGTATGTCCATCTTTCAGATGAGGAGGGTGGAGAGACTAAGCCACCTAATCCAAGTTCACATAGCAACGTGAACTTTATTTTTAATTTATTTATTTTTAAAGATTTTATTTATTCATCTGACAAAGAGAGAGAGCACGTGAGTGCATAAGCAGGGGGAGCAGCAGAGGGAGAGGGAGAAGCAGTCTCTTCGCTGAGCCAGTGTGAACTATAAAATGCTTGTTGTGATGTGGAGATTGACATTACAACACACTGATGTGTCATGACCCACAGTCTGCCTCTCTTATGGCTCTTAAAAATGGCTAATCCTTAGCTCTTTCCTCCAAGCTTCTGAACTTCCTAGAACTGAATTCAGTTGAATCTGTTATTCCAGTAGAAAATTGGGCTCTTCTCCAGGGGAGACACAATCTGGGTAGGCGTCATCCTTCTCTCTGATGCCATATTCACTTCCTTTTGTCATGGTATGAAAACGCTGTTAATATGGAAAATATATTTGAGTAAAAATATTCCATGAAGAAAGATAGCTTTTTTTTTTTTTTTAACTTAAATCCATAGCTAGTGTCTTGATACTATTTGAAGTCAATGGTAAGAAAAATCATGGTGACACAGTAGATATAGAACAGAAAAACTGGAGGTTTGCCTCATGTTTTGGAGAAAAAAGATAATTTCCATATCATTCATAAAAATGAGACATTATCCCAATTTTTTTTATTAAAAAGATCATGAGCTTCAGATAAACCCCCATTAAATATTTGTTCATGTCTTTTTTCCTCAAAAATTTTACTTAAAAAAGAATCGGGTTTTTTCCTTGTGTCCTAAGCAGGTCCTTGGAGACATCTTTCATTAGATGTCAGGGAGCGGTGTTATTACAATGGGTGGGGATGGGATTTTTAGGGAGAGCATGGGCAAGATGAGATGAAAACATGATATAATGGGGAGGAAGAGATACTTTAGCCCCTGATTTACTCCTCTCTCCTCTTCTATTCATTTTCTGATCTCTGTGTGCCCATTGGGATCAGAACTACTTTTATGACCTCAAATGGGAGAGTATTATATTTCAGTTTAAGTCAGAGAAGGTACTTTATGAACCCACTTTCTTAACTCTGACCCTTTTCATCACTCACAAATGAAACTAGATTTTTTAAGTGGGTCACTGGGAGAGGAAATTGTCAGGGATTCCTTCTAAGCATTAGTCCACCTTTATGAATAATTCTGTTTATGGTGCTTTTGCATTCATTGCCTGATTTTTATTTCTTTAAAAGCCTTTCCTGTGTGTTCTTAACGGCCACTGATTTCCTAAATCTGCTCACAAGCCGCAGCTACTCCGTTAGTCTCTGTTTTGTCTCTTCTGAAGAAAATATCCTGCAAAATGGAGTAACACATCAACCTTGACTGTGGTCCAAGTTATTAAAACAAGGAAGAAGTTATTCTCTGGGGAGTTGGGCAGGGGGAGTGGGAAATCGAACACAATAGAAATGTTAAAGGAGTGCTGAGCAGAATGAATGTCCCTTTGCTGGTCCAAGAAGTTCACAGACTGTTGGGAACACACAGTATTTGACCTGTGGATGGTTGAAAGGAAAACGAAAGACTCACGATGAGTGATGTATGGTGAAAACAAAGCCGCGCGTTTTGGTAGGGCCAAGGCTGTCGAATCTGGAGAAAATCCCCGCTAGACATGGTCTCATCCCTGAGAACCTGTGCCAAAAGAGATAACTGTCTTCTCTGGCTGGGAGTTCCAATACACAGCCCAGCACCTTCCCATTCCAGCTCATAAACATAAGGTATTCGTCCAAGAGATTTACTTCTTGAAAATAGATAGCCTGCTTTTAAGTGGCTCCTGGAGCTTGGGATGCAGAGCAAAGGTGGAGAGAAATAGTTCTGTGAATATCAGCATTCCTGAGTGAAATCCTCCAGCTCCACCCCCAGCAGAACTTTGTTAATTTCTCCTTTTAAAAATGGTTACCTTTAGGGGCGCCTGGGTGGCTCCGTTGGTTAAGCAACTGCCTTCGGCTCAGGTCATGATCCCGGAGTCCTGGGATGGAGTCCCACATCGGGCTCTCGGCTCAGCGGGGAGCCTGCTTCTCCCTCTGACCCTCTCCCCTCTCATGCTGTTTCTCTGTCTCTCTCTCTTTCTCTCCAATAAATAAATAAATAGATAAAATCTTAAAAAAAAAAATGGATACCTTTATGCCAGGAAAGTAGTTCTTTGTCATCCCTTGGATTCCGCTTAGATCTGTTAGCCATACTGCCAAGACAAACATGGGACTCCTGGGTTGGCAGGGTGGGGATGGAGACTGATTTTGAGCTGTGTCTCCTGTTCCTCGCATCTGGAGTGGACTTAATTTCTTTGCCCTCAGTTCTCACTTCCATGCTACTTGTTTCAACTCTCCTTGGCTGTTCACCTTTCCCACCCTTTTCTCTTTGGGCATGTATTCAATTAATATATGTAACTTTTTAAATTATTTAAGTAATCCATATAAATTATAGAACACCTAGAAAATACAACTATACAGGGAAGGAAACTACCCCCCTCCCCCGGTAGTTCAGACGAAATTACTGTTAATATTATGTTGCATACACTTAGACTTTTTTCTTTTTGGGGGGCGCATGGTGAGGGGCAGAGGGAGAGAGAGAATCCAAAGCAGGCTCCATGCCAGCACCCAAAGCAGGACTCCATCTCACAACCCTGATATCAGGACCTGAACCAAAATCAGGAGTCGGACACTTAACCAGCTGAGTCACCCAGGGGCCCCTAGATCTTTTTCTATGCATACATGTACATTTGTGTCCTTTTCTTTTCTATAGCAAATAATTGGGCTTCAACTTCTGTAAGCCATTGTCAAGTTCTGTATTTCAACTATCAAGAGAGTGTTTTGAAAATATTCTTAACTTGTTAAAAAATATTTCATTTAAAAAACTACTTTGGCCTTTACAGACATCATCTCTACACTATGTCTCTATTTATTTTTAAGCAAGGAGTCATTTTCATCTTGTAAAGGTGAGGGGAAATGACAGGTTTGTTCAGATCAGAAATACAAAGAGACCAAGAAGGTGGTGGTGAAGGGACCAAGATGGATGTGAGGAGGATGATGGACTCAGCACAGAAAGATGAAGTAGGGTTCTAGCCTATTGATAAAGGTGTTTGTATTTGTGTGTGTGTGTGTGTTGGAGGGGGGAGAAGTATAATAGGTGTGTGGCGGATGTCTTTCATGACCTAAAGGAATATTTTGCACCTCTCATGTCTGTGATCCCATCTTGTACCCTTCTGAGACCCTCTACTCACCATGAATCCTTCTTCCTATTATTTACCCAAGAAAAAAAATCATAACCTCCAGCTAGGAAAATATTGACATGGAAGCTACACTAGTAAAAAGTCATCTGTATAAACACTTCTCTGAATTGAG